CCACTGTAATGAGCTCCTTTGTGTGCTCAGCGCATCATTCTAAAACTGGTGCAAAAATACCATTTGAGATCACTTTTGCACTCTTGATCTTGAAATTCTTTTGTTGGAAAATATATGCTTACTTCAGTTTGGATAGAATAATATGCACACATAATCAATGCCTCATCAGACAGTAGACATTAAAATCAATATTTGAAAACTTGGCAGCGGGGTGGGGGAGTGATTTTGCACTGCTGGCAGAGTTTACATGGGCGGGCGACGCGGACCAACAGTGTACATTTCAACAAAGCACCTTACCCTCTTCACCAGTTATGCATAGAGCTTGAAGAACTGCCCTAACTCTTCCCAAATTTACGAAATTAAATTCATTCACAGTACATAACTTATCGACTCCACTAAACAGTTTCCACTAATGAATCAGTGAACACAGTATCTGTCTCATTCCAGAAGGTGGTGCCTCCTGGCCCCCCCATATACTGCCGCCCCTGCTTTAGATCTATGTCAGGGTTGGGGAATCTTTCTGACTCCCACCGGCCATAACCTACAGCTCTGCCCTGTGACCAAATGCAACAGATAGGCTGGCTCGTCGACACTCTTCCCCTCCTCCAATCCCCATCTCAAGAGCTTAAAAGAAAACTGGAGGAGCCCACAAAACCTTTCCAAGGCACCTGTGCTTCCCTTTAGCCCTCTGAATCACACAAACTAAAGCCGCAGCTAGGGGCACGTAACAGGCTTTCCGCACGTCCCCTTCCGCTCCCTTTTACCAGCAGTGATTCACCTCCCGAGGCAATGCGTCAGCCTGCAGGGGGCCATGTCTGCGGCACTTGGCGCAACCCTCGGCCAGGGGCCCCCCGCAACCGTTGGTCCCCACCTCCTTTCAATACACACCTCTGGTCGTTCTAATACAACAATTCATTTTACAATACTACTACTGTTTCATCTTAACTTCCAATCAATAACCGCTGCTTTACCTTGACCCTTAGCCTGGGACTCGGATCCCCAGAGATTGTCCCTCCTCCCCATCATCCTCTCCCCAACTTGTTAGATAGGATGGGAACCTTGGCTCTCCAGATATGAAGGATTGCACTTCCTCATTTTCTGGCCTGTGGCTGGGGAAAATGAGCTGGGTCCAATGCATCTGAAGATTCCTCATCCCTTCCTTTACAATTCTCAAATAAAGCCATTAAACGAAACTAACTCACCAGGTTTCTTTCTTGGAAGAGAAAAATTCCTCGTCAACTTAAAGAACATTTTACACACTATTTACTAAAGATACGCAATTTGAATAGACTGAAACATGAAGCCTTAATTCGCACAACTTATCTTGCCATAGCCACTTACTGAACATGCCTATAACAAAATCAAACTTTCTACAATAGCTTACCTATTGCATTTACTCAGAAGAATCCAATTTTTTTTAGTGAAGACATTTCCCACAGAAAAAGCCTTAAATCACCACACTTTCTCAGAAGCACAGTAACTTTTCGCTGTCTGCGAAGCGTTGTTTTTTGAGCCTCAAATTAGTGACAAAATACTTGTACCTCAGATTAGTGATTTTTCTGAAGGCTGCATTTCCTAGCAGGGCCCTACGGAAATCAAATGCATCCTAACACATGGATTTTAAAGAGCACACACCACAGTCCACTAACATTTTGACTAGTAGCCACTTTCAAATTTTCAGAGAGTGCTGGAGGTACCAGGCACAAATGACTACACGAAGGGTGTGTGGCATAACACAAAACTACAGAGACAACCCCCCGAACCTCATGCTTACTAAGGGAGTCAGCAATGTCCTTGTTGGTCTTTATTATGGAGATGACACTCTCTCTCTCCTCTCTCTCTCACACCAGAGACACACACACATGATCCTAGAACAGGGAGCATTCCAGCACCCAAAAAATTACAAGATATATTTTTCCCCATTTCACAGAAACAACTGTAAAGTACCTGCCCTTGCCTCCTTCCCAGGAGGGCTAAAATTTGGTCGAATTGTACCGGCATCAATTTTGATCGCAAAAGTGTATTGGATATTGCAAGTTGACCTATATTAACCTCAGGGCCCCTCCCTCTGCCAGTTCATATCAATACCGTGCCTCAGGTTAAGTACTTAATCGTTCTGGAGGTCCGTTCTTAACTAAACGTTCTTAACCCTGAAGCCACTTAGATATGGGGCCTCTGCTGCTGCGTGCCGCCGAGCACGATTTCTGTTCTCATCCTGAAGCAAAGTTCTTAACCCCGACGGTATATTTCTGGTTAGCGGAGTCTGTAACCTAAGCCCGTATGTAACCCGAGGTACCCACTTACAAAGAAAGAGCGCCACCACACGAAAATACCCCACCCTCTGAAGTGCAGCAAAGAAATAAAGATGTTCAATCCCACTCTCTCTGCCCCTTCTCAACCCCAAAGCCCGCTAGATATAGACTCCCCCTTTTCCCTGCATCCAGCACTTGGGGTGGGGGGGCCCTTATTATTTCCAACACCACGAGCATGTCCGCCACGCAGCAGGTCCGAATGTCAACCCCAGGCACCTCCAGACAGAATCATAGAATCGGAAGGGACCCCAAGGTCCATCTAGTCCAACCCCCTTGTGATACAGGAAACACCACACACAGTCCTGCCACCCATGTGAACCACACCGACCCTGCCAAGTTTGCAAATACCCTAGCCTATAGTAGTTTTATTAATGGTCACTAGGGGGCTGGACACGGGTGGTGCTGTGGGTTAAACCACAGAGCCTAGGGCTTGCCGATCGGTAAGGTCGGTGGTTCGATCCCCCGCGCGGGTGAGCTCCCGTTGGTTCGGTCCCTCTCCTGCCAACCTAGCAGTCCGAAAGCACACCAGTGCAAGTAGATAAATAGGTACCACTCCGGCGGGAAGGTAAACAGCGTTTCCGTGCGCTGCTTCTGGTTTGCCCAGAAGCGGCTTAGTCATGCTGGCCACATGACCGGATCTGTACGCCTGCCCTCAGCCAGTAAAGCGAGATGAGCGCCGCAACCCCGAGTCGGCCCAACTGGACCTAATGGTCAGGGGTCCCTTTACCTTTAACGGGGGCCAAGGAGAGAACTCCTGCCTGAAACCCTGGAGCAGCCGCTGCCTGTCGGAGTAGTGGCAACGCTGAGCTGCACGGGCAGTGGTTCCGATTCAAATACATAAAACAGCTTCCTGCACTCCTATGGGATTGTTGGTCAAGCCCCAACGTTGGACACAAAAGAAATCCTGCATCGCGGCGGGTTGGGCCTAGATAACCACCAGGGTCCCTTCCGACTCTATGCTCCGAGACTCTTAACCTCAAGGTCCGCAGTTCAAGCATCACGTTGGGCAACAAGAATCCTGCCATCCCGGGAGATGGGCTAGGTGAACCACCAGGGTCCTCCGACTGCCTACGTTCCTGGAGCCTGAGACCTAAACCCAGGCACCCCCAAAACTCGGCCCTCCAGCCGTTTTGAGCTACACACTCCCAATCCAAATCCTAGCTAACAGGACCAAGTGGTCAGGGACTGATGGGAACTGTAAGTCCCCAAAACCAGCTGGAGGGCCGAGTTTGGGAAAGCGCCTGTCTTAACCTAACAGGTGGCGGGGTTCGAGCGTCAACGTTAGGCAAAGGAATCCTGCATCGCAGGAGGTGGGCTAGATGACCACCAGGGCCCCTTAGCACGCTACAATCTGTGAGGGGCGCCTCCGGCCTCTCCACCCTCGCCCGGCGCTTCGCCCTCGCCGTTGCAGGGCGGCCTGTCGCTTGCCAAGGAGGCCCTGTCCGCCCCCACTTCCAACCCCCGCCCCTTTGCTTCCCGGCCCACCTGGCGCCCCTACCCGCCCCCAGCCCCGGCTGGCCCGCGTGCGGCACGCGGCCTACGGCGCGGAAAGGACAGCCCGCCTCAGGCACCGCGCCGCCATGTCCCACGCTGCGCCCCCCGCGGGGCGGAAGAGAGGAGAGGCCGGGGAGGATGGCGCGTCGCTCCTGCTCCCCTCCATCTCCTCCTCCCCTCTTCACACGTGCGGCCCCTCGCCCTCAGGCTCCTTCCCGTGTCCCTCTCCTCGCTCCTCCCCTCGCAAGGGCGCGGCGGGCACGCGAACCCGCTCTTCCCGGGGCCATGGCGGCGCGGCGAAGGAGGCGCCGCGTGGCGGCGGCTGACGGGCCTGTCGTTCGCGGATGTACACGAGGAGGAGATACGGTACGCCCCGCGGCTGGGTAACGCAAGACGGTTAAGAAGAGTTGGAAAGGGACCCCCGAGGGTCATCTAGGCCAACCCCCTGCGAGGCAGGAATCCTTTTATTTGCCCAACGTGGGTCTCCGAACCTGCGAGGCTGAGATGAGAGTCAAGGGTGGTAGATGCACACGTGCTACGCCGGCATCTGAGCCGAAGGGCGAGAAGTGCAGGATTGGAGGGGACGACGAGGGTCATCTTATAGCCAACACAGCAATACAGTGGTACCTCCGATTGCACATGGGATCCGTTCCAGAGCTCTGGTCGGATCCTGAGGAATTCGCAACCAGGGGTTCCTGTTCTGCGCACGCATGCAGCGCAGTAGAGAAGAAGAAGAGTTTGGATTTGATATCCGCTTTATCAATACCCTAAGAAGTCTCAAAGCGGCTAACAATCTCCTTTCCCTTCCTCCCTCACAACAAACACTCTGTGAGATGAGTGGGGCTGAGAGACTTCAGAGAAGTGTGACTAGCCCAAGGTCACCCAGCAGCTGCATGTGGAGGAACAGGGACGCAAACCCGGTTCACCAGATTACGAGTCTACCGCATAGAGCGCTTCTGCGCATGCGTGCACAGCGAAACCCAGAAAAATACTTCCAGGTTTGCTGCGTTCGCATCCTGAAGGATATGCAAGCAGAGGTGTGCGTATCCAGAGGTACCGCTGCACTTGATGAGGCAAAGGCCAGGGTGAGGGTGTGCACGATGCTCTCTATTGTACTCATGTCACAACTCATAGAAGGTTTGTCTACGCAGGATGCTTCTACAGCAGATTAAAGTTCAGTTCTGCTGTGTTCAAGACAATGGAATAATTTTACGAAATGCTCAGAGGACAGACGTTTTTCTTAGTAACAAGAATTAATGTGTATGATGATAATAAAACCACAAAGCTTACCGGTACATGAGGTTCAGCTATGTCAATCTCAAAAAGGTTAGGATGTTTGTCAAGAATATATCTGGCTGCATTTTCCCCAGATTCTTTTGATAAGGAAAATAAACGCTAGAAAAAGAACGTATCCATATTATTTTCTTTACTTAAAGTAGAAGTTACCATTCATGATACTGCAGTTTCATAAAACCTACCAAAAGGCCTCTGAATCAAATATTTAGTCCTTTTCCTCTCTCATTCTTACTGCCATCAAGTCAAATTTCCATTTTAAAGCTTTTACCATCACATTTCAATCGTTATATATATTGTTTTGCAGGAAGCAGCAGTGAGGTGCTGCTGGTGCTTTTTGCAAAAGCAAAAGAAAGCACCTCACTTTTTCTCCCCAGAAACCAGAGACAGTCAGTTTAATATGAGCAGGCCTTTTTCTGAAAACAAGTGGTTTTGCTCAATTTATTTAGGGGGGGGGGGGGCTTGCCACTAGGCCTTGAACCCTGCGTCAGGGAATTTCTTTTACATTTGTCGATAATGTTAAGAGTCCGTATGAGAAATGGGTTGGGTGCAGCGGGGAGAGAAGTGATAAATATTTCTAGGTAGGGAATTTAAAGAGCACTACCTCCTCACTGCTGCAATACAAAAGCAGTAATTCTGGTTCTGTACCCAATGAAGCTGTCCTGTTACATTCCTGGGCTTCTACCTGCACAATGAAACTTTCTCTCTTAAGAGAGTCTCTGCTCCAGAGGGTTGAGGGAAAACCCAGAACAGGTTGGGAGGAACGTGGAGAAAGTCCTGTTGTACCGGCAGAAGTTCTTGTGTTAACGGGGTGACTTTGGTGGATATATATCTCTGAAAATATATCACAGATGTTTAAGGGCCAGTCTTGACAGACTCTAGGGTTGTGCGCCCATCTCACTCAAGAGGCCGGGGGCCAGCGCTGTCCGGAGACACTTCCGGGTCACGTGGCCAGCGTGACAAAGCTGCATCTGGCGAGCCAGAGCTGCACACGGAAACGCTGTTTACCTTCCCGCTGGTAAGCGGTCCCTATTTATCTACTTGCACCCGGGGGTGCTTTCGAACTGCTAGGTTGGCAGGCGCTGGGACCGAACAACGGGAGCGCACCCCGCCGCGAGGATTCGAACCGCCGACCTTTCGATCGGCAAGCCCTAGGCGCTGAGGTTTTTACCCACAGCGCCACCCGCGCCCCGCTGGAGTATGACTTAATACACAAATATTATATATAATGTGCAGGACAAGCAGACAGGCTGCCTACTCCATGCACCTGAGGCCCCAAAACAACTTGTGCTGCCGTGTTTTGTTACATGAAGAGTATTTTGGGGTGGGGAGTAATCTATGAAGTGACCTGTCACAGAATTCAGCACAAAACCAGCATTTCATCTTCAGACACAGCCCTAACAGTCCCTTTACTGTCAATTTGGCTGACAAAAGGGGAAGTCCCAACCCTAAAAACACACTTACAAGAATGTAAGTGGCAACGGAACCTTCATTGCATACAAAAGTGCTTGTAACTGTGCACCAGCCTACTAAACATTTTTTTCTAGCAAAATCAGTTTTAAGAGAGTTACTTACAAACTCAGTAGTGGTTCGAGGAATAAGATACGGGTCGTCTTGAAACATGTAGTTAGGAGCTGTGGGATCCTGAATAAAGGAGGATGAAGCGTTTAAATTGTAGCTTTTGCACCGACAAGATCTACACGACAGATTCATCTTCCTACATTGCTGAGGTTAAAAATCGTGTCTAAACATTTTGCTTCAACACACACCAAAAAACCTCTGCAATAAGAAAGGACTACTTTTACTATGCATTAACCATACATCCATTACACCAGAGGTTTTCAACCTTTTTGAGTCCACGGCTCCCTTGACCAACAACATTCTTTCTGCGGCACCTCTGTGGGGCTTGGGAGCCCAGTTATGTCACCCCTTGCCTGCAAAACTGGCAGCCTCTCACCCCTTTTTGAACATCCTGTGAAGTGTTCCCTCAGCCTCCTCTCCCCTCTCCTTGCAAGTCCTCTGGGCACCTGCTTCTGCCGCCCCTGGTCTCTGAGCTGCCCCTATGCCCCAAATAAAGGTGCCTCCTCACACTGCCCCACAGGGGCCTGGGAAGCACCCCCTGGCCAGTCCCAGAGGCACCATTCGCCTGCGGAGGTTGTAGCCAGGGCTGCTGCAACAAACAGCTGTGAAAAACCATCATTCAAGGCACCCCAGGGTGCCATAGCACACTGTTTGAAAACCACTGCATTACACTATTTAGGGTGCCTTATTCATCCATAAAAAATGCACCAATGCAGCAAGAAATTTTCCAGTTGGCACTATTCAAGGATTATCCTTGTATGCTGCTCTGTTACTGATTTTTGCAGGAGAGCAGAAAATACAGTGGCACCTCGGGTTAAATATGCTTCAGGTTACATACGCTTCAGGTTACAGACTCCGCTAACCCAGAAATAGTACCTCGGGTTAAGAACTTTGCTTCAGAATGAGAACAGAAATCGTGCTCCGGCAGCGTGGCGGCAGCGGGAGGCCCCATTAGCTAAAGTGGTGCTTCAGGTTAAGAACAGTTTCAGGTTAAGAACGGACCTCCGGAACGAATTAAGTATGTAACCAGATGTACCACTGTATGAGCTCTTGTGTGCTCCAAGCGCATCATTCTAAACTGGTGCAAAAATCCATTTGAGATCACTTTTGCACTCTTGATCTTGAAATTATTTTGTTGGAATAATATGCTTACTTCAGTTTGGATAGAATAATATGCACACATCATGCCCTCTATCAGACAGTAGAATTAAAATCAATATTTGAAAACTTGGCAGCGGGGTGGGGGGAGTGATTTTGCACTGCTGGGAGAGTTTTACATGGGGGGGACGGGACCAAGCAGTGTATCATTTCAAAAAAGCACTTACCCTCTTTACAGTTGATGCAAGAGCTTGAAGAACTGCTAACTTATCCCTAAATTTAAGAAAATTAAATATTCAGTTTACAGTACATAACTTATGATACTAAAGAGTTTCCACTATGAAGTAGTGAAGCACAGTATCTGTTCTGCATTTCCAGAAGGTGGTGCCTCCTTGGCACCTCCCCCATATTATCTTGCCGCCCCTGCTTTTTAGTATCTATGTCAGGGTTGGGGAATCTTTCTGACTCCACCGGCCATAACCTTTACAGACTCTGCCTTGTGAACCAAATGCAACAGATAGGCATGGCTCTGTGAATCTTCCCCTTCCTCCAATCCCCAATCTCAAGAGGCTTAAAAGAAGAACTGGAGGAGGCTCACAAAACCTTTTCCAAGGCACCTTGTGCTTTCCTTTTTTAGCCTCTGAAATCACAAACTAAAAGCGAGTAGGGGGCAGACATGGGAAAGGTTTCGCAAGTCTCCCTTCCGCTCCCCTTTTAAGACAGTGATGTCAGCTGAAGGGCAGATGGTCATGGTTTGCAGGGGGCAAATGGTCTTGCGGGCCAAATTGGGAACCCCTGGCAGGCCAAGTTGGTCCCCATCCGTTTTACAATAGCACACTCTGGTCAGTTACTGAAATAAATCAATTCATTTTACAATAGCTATACTTGTTTCATCTTAACTTCCAATAATAAGCGCTGCTTATTACCTTTGACTCCTTAAATGGTTTGGGAACAGGATACCCAAGAGATTGTCTCCTCCCATACAATTCTCCCAACTTGTTAAGATAGGGATGGGAACCTGTGGCTCTCCAGATATTGAAGGATTGCAACTTCCATCATTTTCTGGCCATGTGGCTGGGGAAAATGGAGCTGGGGTCCAATAGCATCTGAAGATTCCTCATCCCTTCTTTAAATTTCTCAAATAAAGCATTAAACGAAACTACTCACCAGGTTTTCTTTCTTGGAAGAGAAATAATTCCTTCGTCAACTTTGAAAAGAACATTATTACAACTATGTTAGTAAAGGATACGCATATTTGAATAGACTGAAACTATGAAAGCCTTAATTCAGCAAACAATTATTCATATGCATAGCCACTTTAGCTGAAACATTGCCTATAACAAAATCAAACTTTCTACAAATAGCTTTATCCTAATTGCATTTACTCAGATAGAAGTCCAATTTTTTTTAGTGAAGACATTTCCCCACAGAAATAAGCTTTAAATCACACACTTTTCTCAAGGAAGCACAGTAAACTTTTCGCTGTCGCGAAGCGTTGTTTTTATGAGCTCAAAATTAGTGACAAAAATACTTGTACCTTCAAGATTAGGTGATTTTTTCTGAAGGGCTGCATTTCCTGAGCAGGGCCTACGGAAATCAAATGCATCCATGAAACATGGATTTTAAAAGCACACACACAGTCACTAACATTTTTGAACTAGTAGGCACATTTCAAATTTTCAGAGAGTGCTGGAGGTACCAGGCACAAAATGACTATCACGAAGGGTGTGTGGCATAACACAAAACTACAGAGACAACCACCCCGAACCTCATGCTTACTAAGGGAAGTCAGCAATGTCTTGTTGGTCTTTATTATGGAGATGACACTCTCTCTCTCTCTCTCTCTCTAACACACAGAGACACACACAATGATCCTAGAAACAGGGAGCATTCCTCAGCACCCAGAAAAATATACAAGATATATTTTTCCCATTTCACAGAAATCACTGGTAAAGTACCTGCACATTATGCCTCCTTCCCAGGAGGGCTAGAAATTTGGTTCGAAGTTGTTACCGGCATCAATTTTTGTATCGGCAAAAGTGTATTGGATATTGCAGAGTTGGACTATATTAACCTCAGGGCCCCTTCCAACTCTGCAGTTCTATTATTCTAATACAGTGGTACCTCAGGTTAAGTACTTAATTCGTTCTGGAGGTCCGTTCTTAACTTGAAACTGTTCTTAACCTGAAGGACCACTTTAGATAATGGGGCCTTCTGCTGCTGCCGTGCCGCCGGAGCACGATTTCTGTTCTCATCCTGAAGCAAAGTTCTTAACCCGAGGTAATATTTCTGGGTTAGCGGAGTCTGTAACCTGAAGCGTATGTAACCCGAGGTACCACTGTACAAAGAAAGAGACCCCACCACAGAAAATACCCACACCTCTGAAGTTGCAGCAAAGAAATAAAAGATTGTTCAATTGCCCACTTCTTCTGCCCCTTCTCAACCCCAAAGCCCGCTAGATATAGACTCCCCTTTTCCCTGCATCCAGACACTTGGGGTGGGGGTGGCCTTATTATTTCAACATCAGAGCATGTGCCTTGCACGCAGCAAGGTCCTGGGAATGTCAACCCAGGGCACCTCCAGACAGAATCATAGAATCGGAAGGGACCCCAAGGGTCATCTAGTCCAACCCCCTTGTGATACAGGAAACACCAACACACAGTCCTGCACCCAATGTGAAACCACACCGGACCCTGCTCAAGTTTGCAAATACCCTAGCCTAGTAGTAGTTTTATTAATGGGTCACTAGGGGGGCTAAGGGACACGGGTGGTGCTGTGGGTTAAACCACAGAGCCTAGGGCTTGCCGATCGGAAGGTCGGTGGTTCGAATCCCCGCGACGGGGTGAGCTCCCGTTGTTCGGTCCCTGCTCCTGCCAACCTAGCAGTCCGAAAGCACACCAGTGCAAGTAGATAAATAGGTACCACTCCGGCGGGAAGGTAAACAGCGTTTCCGTGCGCTGCTCTGGTTTGCCAGAAGCGGCTTAGTCATGCTGGCCACATGACCCGGAATCTGTACGCCTGCTCCCTCAGCCAGTAAAGCGAGATGAGCGCCGCAACCCCAGAGTCGGCCACAACTGGACCTAATGGTCAGGGGTCCCTTTACCTTTACGGGGGCCAAGGAGAGACTCCTGCCTGAAACCCTTGGAGAGCCGCTGCCTGTCGGAGTAGTAGGCAACGCTGAGCTGCACGGGGCAGTGGTCCGATTCAGAATAATAAAACAGCTTCCTGCACTCCTATGGGATTGTTGGTTCAAGCCCCACGTTGGACAAAAAGAATCCTGCATCGCGGCGGGTTGGGCTAGATAACCACCAGGGTCCCTTCCGACTCTATGCTTCTGAGACTCTTAACCTCAAGGTCGCAGGTTCGAGCATCACGTTGGGCAACAAGAATCCTGCATCTCCGGGAGATGGGCTAGGTGACCACCAGGGTCCCTTCCGACTCTACGTTTCTGGAGCCTGAGACTCTTAACCCAGGCACCCCCAAACTCGGCCCTCCAGCTGTTTTGAGACTACAACTCCCATCATCCCTAGCTAACAGGACCAGTGGTCAGGGATGATGGGAACTGTAGTCCCAAAACAGCTGGAGGGCCGAGTTTGGGAGCGCCTGTCTTAACCTCAAGGTGGCGGGTTCGAGCGTCACGTTAGGCAAAAGGATTCCTGCATCGCAGGAGGTTGGGCTAGATGACCACCAGGGCCCCTTCAGACTCTACAATTCTGTGAGGGGTCGCTCCGGCCTCTCCACCCTCCCCGGGCGCTTCGTCCTCGCCGTTGCTAGGGCGGCCTGTCCGTTGCCAAGGAGGCCTGTCCGCCTCCACTTCCACCCCCTGCCCCTTTGCTTCCCGCCTCACCTGGCGCCCCTTCCCGCCCCCGAGCCCGGCTGGCCCGCGTGCGGCAGCGGCCTACGGCGCGGAAAGGCCAGCCGCCTCAGGCACCGCGCCGCCATGTCCACGCTGCGCCGCCCTTCGCGGGGCGGAAAGAGAGGAGAGGCCGGGGAGGAAGTGGCGCGTCGCTCCTGCTCCTCCTCCATCTCCTCCTCCCCTCTTCACACGTGCGGCCCTCGCCCTCAGGCTCCTTCCCGTGTCTCTCCTCCTCCTCCTCCTCGCAGGGGCGGCGGGCGGCGACCCCTCTTCCCGGGGCCATGGCGGCGGCGAAGGAGGCGCCGTGGCGGCGGCTGACGGGCCTGTCGTTCGGGATGTACACGGAGGAGGAGATACGGTACGCCCCGCGGCTGGGTAGCAAGACGGTTAAGAGAGTTGGAAAGGGACCCCCGAGGGTCATCTAGGCCAACCCCCTGCGAGGCAGGATACTTTTATTTGCCCAACGTGGGTCTCGAACCTGCGAGGCTGAGATTGAGAGTCAAGGGTGGTAGATGCACACGTGCTACGCGTGATCTGAGCCGAAAGGGCGAGAAGTGAGGATTGGAGGGGACCACGAGGGTCATCTAATAACAAATAATAAGAATAAAATTTTATCTATACTCTGCCCTCCCCAGCCAAGACCTACTCCAATCCCCTTGCAATGCAGGAATCGTGTGCCCAACAACATGCCCAACTATAGGGTGCTAGTAGCATACCTGACTCTTTTTTGCGCGGTGCTTTTGGGGACCCCGCTCCTTCTTTGGTTATTCTAGTTCACTTTGTTTGTGCCACTGCAGATGTGCCAGCAGAGCTGTTGGTGCAGATATGGGCATTCTTTGAATGTGTTGTTGTTTAGTCGTCTAGTCGTGTCTTCGTGACCCCATGGACCAGAGCACGCCAGTACTGGAGCCTCAGCTTCAGGATCTGTCCTTCCAGTGAGCACTCAGGGCTGATTTCCTTCAGAATGGATAGATTTGATCTTCTTGCAGTCCATGGGACTCTCATGAGTCTCCTCCAGCACCATAATTCAAAAGCATCAATTTTTCGACGATCAGCCTTCTTTATGGTCCAGCTCTCACTTCCATACATCACAACTGGGAAAGCCATAGCTTTAACTATACGGACCTCTCTGCTTTTTAAGATGCTGTCTAGGTTTGTCATTGCTTTTCTCCCAAGAAGCAGGCATCTTTTAATTTCGTGACTGCTGTTACCATCTTGGAATGTAAAGGGACCCCTGACCATTAGGTCCAGTTGTGGCCGACTCTGGGGGTTGCGGCGCTCATCTCGCTTTACTGGCCGAGGGAGCCTGTGTACAGCTTCCAGGTCATGTGGCCAGCATGACTAAGCCGCTTCTGGCAAACCAGAGCAGCGCACGGAAATGCCGTTTACCTTCCCGCTGAAGCGGTACCCATTTCCCTACTTGCACTTTGACGTGCTTTTGAACTGCTAGGTTGGCAGGAGAGGGACCGAGCTACGGGAGCTCACCCCGTCGTGGAGATTCGAACCGCCGACCCTCTGATCGGCAAGTCCTAGGCTCTGTGGTTTAACCCACAGTGCCACTCGCGTCCCATCTTTGAATGTAGTGCAAGCCAATTCAGTTGGGGGAAACGTGTACCGTAATTTGTGTACAATACTTCTCAGCTATGGGAGAGGTACCCGTTAAAAAATTTCTCGCCTATACAGTTGTGCTGCCGTTAACAGCATATATATATACATATACATACATATATATACACGCACCACACACACACACACACACACAGATGTAAAAATGGGCTGTTAAAATTATATTCCCCTGCTCCGTTTACATCTTGGACCACCTAGGTGTCAGAGTTTGTTGCAGCAGCAAACAATAAAATGCTGTGCCGGAAATGTTGAGACAATTTTCCTTTGAGACAATTGAAGAATAGTTCTGTGTCACATATCTTGTTGTGGTCTTCCAGCTGGGAGTGTTCCAGTAAAAAAGGCTATTGAATGAACAATCTTCTCTGTGCAAGCAGAATTCCACTAGTGCAATGGGTCTTCTCCTTCCTCTTCTACCCCCGTACCCTCAAAATCGGCTCCATAGAGTTGGGGGACAGCAATGTGTGATACAACCCAAAATCTTTGATAGCCGTTCTTATGGGTAAAAAGGTTTGATACAGGCAAAACTAAGGGATGCGGGTGGCGCTGTGGGTAAAACCTCAGCGCCTAGGACTTGCCGATCGCATGGTCGGCGGTTCGAATCCCTGTGGCGGGGTGCGCTCACGTCGTTCGGTCCCAGCGCCTGCCAACCTAGCAGTTCGAAAGCACCCCCGGGTGCAAGTAGATAAATAGGGACCGCTTACCAGCGGGAAGGTAAACGACGTTCCGTGTGCTGCGCTGGCTCGCCAGATGCAGCATGTCACGCTGGCCATGTGGCCCGGAAGTGTCTGCGGACAGCGCTGGCTCCCGGCCTATAGAGTGAGATGAGCGCACAACCCTAGAGTCTGGCAAGACTGGCCCGTATGGGCAGGGGTACCTTTACCTTTACCTTACAGGCAAAACTAGTACCATTTGCAAAACCAGAAACATGTAGTGAGTTCTCCTCTCTCCTAACTTCACGATTAAAAAAAGTTGTTATCTCATGGAGTTCAGGGAAATGCAATCCAAAAATGGCTTTGATGCTACGTATCTAACTTTGTTTTTGTGTGTAGGAATCTGAGTGTAAAATCTATAACCAACCCCCTTTTTCTGGATAATGCGGGTACTCCGTCACCAAATGGACTGTACGATTTGTCTTTGGGGCCAACTGACAACAAAGAAGTGTGTGCTACTTGCACGCAGGACTTCAACAACTGCCCAGGTCATCTGGGTCACATAGAACTGCCCCTCACTGTCTACAATCCTCTCTTTTTTGATGTAAGTATATTCATGACATTCCTGATTTCTCATATTCTAGATTCTATGGGATGGGTGGTTGTGCTGCTTCAGGGTTGAAGTTACCGCAGTGTGAAGAATAAATGTATGGTGTGAGCACTTCACATTGGTTAATTACCGTATTTTTCGCTCCATAAGACACACATTTTCCCCTTCAAAAATTAAGGGTTGCCTTCACTGAAGCCTCTGGAGCGCGGTGGGAGCTCCCGCAGTGCTCCAGAGGCTTTGCATTCCTTTCGCTGAAGCCTGGAGAGCGAGAGGGGTCAGTGCGCACCGACCCCTCTCGCTCTCCAGGCTTCAAAGATAGCTGCCTCCAGAGCTCCCGCTGCACTCCAGAGGCTTTGGGTTCCTTTCGCTGAAGGGTAAGTGCCCCTTCAGCTAAGCGGGAGGAGAAATGGAAGGGGCTCCGTTTCTCCTGCCGCTTCGCTGAAGGGGTGCTGCGCAGAGAGGGGGAGTCGTCCCCCCTGTTCTCCCCCTCTAAAACAAGGTGCGTCCTATGGTTGGGTGCGTCCTATAGAGCGAAAAATACGGTATAGTGTTCTACCTTTCCGGGTTTTTGGAAGGATTTTAACAAGATTAAATATGAAAAGCGCTTTGAAACTTTAATGAAATATTTAGTAGTGTGATAATAAACTATTTTATCTTCTTCAGAAATTATTCCTTTTGATACGAGGTTCCTGCTTGAGCTGTGCCCACCTGACCTGTCCACGGGCTGTGATTCATTTACTGCTTAACCAGCTGAAGCTTCTGGAAGTGGGGTTGCTTCAAGCAGCCCATGATCTTGAGGCCGTCCTAAGCAGGGTAAGTTTGGCTCCTCTTGGTTTTTGTCTGAGAGCATTCAGCATGTTTCTAAATCAATCTTTATTTTAGTTTTTAGATGACAACGCAGACGCACCAGGTGCAGATGTGGAAGAAGTGCTGAGTTTGCACACAAAGGAATTGCTCCAAAATAACCAATTCAGAGAACATGGTGCACATGTAAGTAAGATGAAACAGTATTATAGACCACTATTTATGGTGCTTTGAATAAGCCATCTGCTCTTGCTTCCGTGTCTGAGGTAAAGGTAAAGGGACCCCTGACCATTAGGTCCAGTCATGGCCGACTCGGGGGTTGCAGCGCTCATCTCGCTTTATTGGCCGAGGGAGCCGGCGTACAGCTTCCGGGTCATGTGGCCAGCATGACTAAGCCGCTTCTGGCAAACCAGAGCAGCGCACGGAAATGCCATTTACCTTCCCGCCAGAGCGATACCTAGTTATCTACTTGCACTTTGACGTGCTTTCGAACTGGTAGGTTGGCAGGAGCGGGACCAAGCAACAGGAGCTCACATCGTTGTGGGGATTCGAACTGCCGACCTTCTGATCAGCAAGTCCTAGGCTCTGTGGTTTAACCCACAGCGCCACCCGCGTCCCTTTCCATGTTTTGAGACAAGCTTGCAATTCCTCTTTATTAAAGTGCCTACCGTTTTGTGGTTATCTTAGGGTAAACACTCTTCTGGACTAGTTCTTGAAAAATTTGCAGTGGCAGATTTACTCAAATTATGTTAAATAGGAAATGAAATTAATAAAAGCATTGCTTTTTTTAAAACTTCCTACACCACATAGTAATGCAACATAACGGCCGGCTAACAACTGTAGGAGACATATCTTGTTGCTTGTTTAAAGAAAATTAGCTTTTAGTAGAAGCCAAGTGAATTTTGGATTACTGTATCTCTTTCTCCTATTAACTCAGGTATGGTTTTAAAAATCATTTTCCATACCATTATCTCTTGAATAACTTTCACACCATAAGATGACAACATATTAAAGTGAAATATAGTTCATCTGAATTCTTATACACACTTACCTGGCACTTGCAAAGGATTGCATTGTTAGTAGGGCAGGTGAACAGACACTTGGGCTAAATCACTACAAACCTACAGGTAAGGATATACAAATTTGATGTTGCAGGGACTGAGTTGCTTAGCTAACAATCAGTCAAATGGTATCGTTGGATAAAATGATGAGGAAGGGGATAGTGAGCACAAGAGCTACTGTTTTTGTAATATCTCTGTAGTCAAATTGAGAAGATGTTGACTTCCCAATCTGGACAGCCCAGATCAGGCATGAACTCTGCAAAAATGATATACCTGGGAGACAAAATGTTGACCACAGGAACAAAGGCACCTTGGGTCCATTGACAGACCAGCGCATCAAAGAGAATTTAGTATATACTAAATGTACTAATGGGACGCAGGTGGCGCTGTGGGTTAAACCACAGAGCCTAGGACTTGCCGATCAGAAGGTCGGC